AAGCCATCAATGGCTTGGCCCCAGAATACATCAAGGATCTGTTAGTTATTCAATCCTCCTCAAGATCGCTCAAATCTAACTCTTTTATCTCAAGGTTCCATGCACACGTCTTAAGTGTAGAGGTGATCGAGCATTTTCAGAAACCTCAACCTTAAGAAAAGAGAATAAAATTAAAATAAAAAATAAATTAAATTAAGTTAAGTTTAAAATACATCAATTAAATAAACCTACTCAGTGCATAATTGTACAGTAATACAGAGTATGTTAAGCATGCATGGAATACATGCTTAATCATTAAAGTTTAGAAACAACTGATATTTTGAGCACTCGAACCGGAAGTGTGCCGAAGTGCGCGAGAACGCTCCCGGTGGTTGTTGTGTGTGTTTCCGCTAGAGGGCGCCGCTGCTCCATGATTCACACTCATCATCATTAATAAGCTCTGAACTACCAGAAACGCCTGAGAATGAGTTCAGACCACTGATCTGTGAGTGTTTCACGAGCAGTCTTTATCTCTCTCTGATGTGTCTTATGAGAGAGGAAATTCTCCATTTTTGCTGTTTTATTCCAGTCTGTGCTGCCAGCATCATCTTGTGTCTCTGTTAATGAGTCTCCTCTATGCCGGGCCACTCGCTCCGCATCACCAATCATCTGGCGCTCAAACAGGAAATGGCTGTGCGCTGTGACTTCCTGCGGCGCATGCCCTGTGATGACCTCCTGATAAACCGCTCAGGATGATTTCAATTCACACACTCAGACTCACTGATGGAGGAGGTGCAGGAAGACTATGGCAAGCCGTTTTGACTTTTATTCATTCTCAGGATATGAATTCTTGATATCAACAATTCAATTTCCACTAGTAACAATGTTAATTCTTGATATCAGGAATTAGATTTCAACTAGTAAAAACTATAATTCTTGATATCTGTAATTGTATTTTCACTAGTTAAATGTCACCATAGGCTGCCATTCAAAATCAATTGTTGATATCAATAAAATGTGTAGCATCTACACACACACATAATTATTTAAATAATTGTAATTAAAACAATTATCCAGAACATTTTGAGACACCTATTCTCCTATTCACCATTTCTAACAACTAAAAGAAACATATTTTTGTAATCTGCTTTCTTTATACGCAAAGCCATACAACACAAACACAATTTTTATTTGTAATGTGCCTTTTTTGTTACGCTCAAAGCATAACACATTTCAGTTTCAACAAAGAAAAATAATACATAGCCCAAATTAATGAGCCATGAAGAGAACCCAACACTGTAAGGGATCTTTTGTAAAAGTATATTGCATTAAAGACGCTCGCTTAGTAAATCTGAAGCTCTCAAATGAAACCGTGATTTCATCCTGGAGAAAGTCCTGAAAAATGAGTTTTGCTTAAACTGTGCTTCTTCAGATCTTTGGAGAGACCCAATCCAGCTTTTCATATCAGTAACAGTTCTCTTTAATCGTCTGCACGGCTCTGCTTTCACTCTCAAAGCCTCTGAAATCCAGCTCGCTCGTTTCACTGCGCCTCGTAGTTTTGCACAAATCTCTCTCTGGATCCGTCTGTGGGTCGGGGTCTGGTCAGCAATGAAAACGTTAATGGTCAGTGTGCGTTACCATGGTAACGGTGAGATCTGCAGCCTGAGCGACTTCATTTTGAACATCACAGTCCCCGGCTGTGATGCTGTCAGGAGACCGGGGCTAGTTGTCACACTTTTTTTTTTTTTTTTTTATTCCAGTGAAGGTTTAATTTTTGGCTACAAAACAGCTATTAACCCTCGAATGCATAAACCAAAATAACTAAATTTGTCACAATACACAAGGTAAATACAGAGCGCATTGTTGACTTTTCCCAGCTAACACAAATATGTTGTAAGAACATTTTGCTAACCAGGTACGTCTGCAGATCGCTTCATCTGGAAAGCATCTGCTGTGTACAAACATCTGACAGACGTTACTTTTACATGCATTCTAAATCATAAAGACATCTTCTAAACGTCTATTTGACATCTGATAGCAAACGTCCTGTAGACAGATGAGCAAACGCTCTAAAAAAACTACGTCTTGCAGATGTAATGCAGTACGTGTACGTGTGCTAAACCAGGGATTAACATTCTGAACATGATGAGCAAACGCTCTAAAAAAAACTACGTCTTGCAGATGTAATGCAGTACGTGTACGTGTGCTAAACCAGGGATTAACATTCTGAACATCTAAACTGATACATTTGAAACCTTCTCGTGTTGATGTGAACTTTAAGGGAACGGCTCATGAGGCAAACGTTATGGGAATGTTACTTTTAGGATGTTATCTGAACATTCTGAAACAAGTAACAATGTTTCAAAACTGTTAGTCGAACGTCCAACTGTGAAACGTTTCAAAAATGTCAATGAACGATAACTTTTAAAGACCAGATAACTTAAACATTAGGCCTGCTAGACAGAGGTTTGTAGATATAACGTTGAGAGAACGTTAGCTGGGTGAATGAATTACAATTACCACACAACCGACATTAAGATTTTAGGTTGAATTTACGAAAATATTTTAATGAGGATTAGAAACCAGCTAGAAATGCATGCAAAACCTATTAGCAGAAACAGCCCTGGCTGCACACGCACATAACAGAGACGTCTATTCGTGTTAAATTCACTCTGACTGCTCTGAAATCATCAGAAACTCGAGATTAATCGCAGCGCGTTCTAGCCCACCGCTAATGACGCGAGCGTATGCGCCACGCGCTCCCATCAAACACACACAGATTAATGTGAGGATTAATATGATCGGCAGATTATGAGCTGTTTCCACATCTTCAGAATCTCTCTTTTCAAACACGCCTGTAATGTGTGCAAAACACCACTAATCAACGAGTCACAGCCACAAACACATTCAGCTGCAATCACCACGAATTATTATTATTATTACAAAGTCATTTAATTAGGCCTATATATATATATATATATATAATAATGTTTTGCAGAAACATACGCTATCTACATACTTTCAGCCTATGATAATTTATCAGCAATCGGTCATTTAATTCACTATACTTAGTTTAGATAAAATAATAATGATGGCCGAAATAAATAAATAACATAATTAGTACTGATAATAAAATGAGCGTTATATTTATGCCTGTTTATTTTATTTGTATTTATTTATGCACGTCCAGGTGTTTGTCAGGTTATACTTTCCAAACATATAAAACAGCTTTTGTCATGCACGAGCTGGAAAGAAAAAAAAAAGAGAGAAAAGCCTGATGTTTTCTTGCGAAAGTAAAAGGCTTTTGTTGGTGATAAATAGATGCTGCGGGGATAAAGTGTGTGAGTGCTGTGCGTGATCTGGAGCTGCTGTGCGTGATTTCTCTCTCTCTCTCTCTCTCTCTGTCTCTCTCTGTCTCTCTCTGGATTCATTTCTACAGCCTCAAAAAAAAAAGAAAGAAAGAAAAAGAAAACCTGCAATCTCCATTTATATCATCATAAGAACACCTTCTTCTCCTCCTCCGTTTTCTTTATTTGTTCTGACTGTTATTGTAGAGGTTGCATTCTGCACTCAGATCAGAACAATATCTGAAAAAAAATTTAATAAACTGCACATGCTAGTGCTGATGCTCCTTTTCATGACGCTAGAAGAAAATAAAATTGGTGGCAAATAAATTTTGCTACCCTAATCTGTATCTAAACTGGTGAACTATAATCTATACATAAACATCAAATATCTATGAAACATATAAAGGTCTAATAAACATATTTAAGTCCGTAAAAAAAACACTTAAAAAAAAAAAAGAACGCATCATATAAACCTTGTTTTGAGATGTGCGAGACTTCCGGTGTAGTGCTTCTAGTTATTTTACCTGCACAAAACATTTTGTTATGCTGCTTACAAACTGGTATGTGCTACCATATAATTGTAATTTATTATCGTAATAATCATAAACTCACTGGTTTGTAGGGCAAATGGTTTTACAGTTTACTGCATTTTGTTATTTTAGTTAGCGGCTAATGGACCGGAAGTCTCGCACATTCAAAGAAAACGGCTTCGATACGATGATGAAGCGGTGTGTAGTAAAGGCTTTAATTTGTTGTCCACGCAAAGTAGCCTACAGGAACGTGTTACAGGAAGTTCATAAGTTTCCTTTGTGCAGACCTCCTCCACACACACACTGATACACACACACACACACACACACACTGATACACACACACCTTCAGCAGCTCAAATCCTCCCAATGAGCCCCGGTTTCCGCGAGACTCTCTGACCAATGAGCGCGTGAGTGACGGTAAGACCGGACGGCACGGGACCGTTTCAGCCACTCACACCCGGTACCTGATGATGTGCTCGCGTGTGATTCCACCCCGTAGGACAGAATAGAATAGAATATAGAATTGAATGTAATGTAATGGAATATAATATAATTAATTTGAATGGAATAGAATAGAATAGAATAGAATTGCATTTATTTTAATCGAATGAAATAGAATTGCATTAATTGTAATAGAATTGAATAGAATAAAATAGAATAGACGTGAATTGAATTTATTTGAATGGAATTGAATAGAACAGAATAGAGTATAATAGAATAGAATAGAATAGAGACCGGTCTGCGTATAGTGTGGAGCTACTGATCCTGAACAAAAGGTGGTGAGTATAATTTAATGTTAATATGTTTTCCTGAGTTTCGATGTAGGGTGATAATAAAAATAAATAAATAGGCTAAATGAAAATAAATACTATCATTTTTAATTGTTAGCTATAACAGAATTTTAGGACAGCTAAAGTAAATGTGTGTTAGTTTTGGCACAGTAACACCGTGTCGTTATGTATTTTTAAGTATAAATGAATTGAGAGTGCTGTTTAATTCTTTAGAGTTGGTGAAGTGAAGTTGTGCTGTGTTCTGACTGGCAGCGGCCTGCGCGGGTCAGATGCGCTGTCCGGTGAGCTCCGCTTCTCTCGCGCTGCAGTCACCGAGCGTCTGAAGGGGTTTGAGCGCGACTCACGGAGCGATGAAGGAGAAGTCCAAGACGGCGGCGAGGACGCGGCGGGAGAAGGAGAAGAGCGAGTTTCACGAGCTCGCCAGAATGCTGCCGTTACCGTCGGCCATCACGTCTCAGCTGGACAAAGCGTCCATCATCCGACTGACCAGCAGCTACCTGAAGATGCGCCTGGTGTTCCCGCAAGGTGCCTTCATTAACACGCTCGCGCTAATTAACACTAACAGTCACGCTGGATGATAATAATAATACTAACGCAGAAATAAGAACATGGAAATTAGCTGGTTCCATTCAAGTCTAAACTTCACTGGATCAAAGGGTTACCAACAAAACTCATTCTTATCGACTAAATCGGGTAGGAATAGTCTTCTGAGACAACAAAAGTTACACGTTTACAGTGTAATAATATGTTTATGCTGGTTTTTTTAGGTTCAGAAGGATTCGTGTTGGATCCCGAGTTGAGCCGCTTTAATATTTGGGAACTGAAAGGCTCGTTATTATCAGGGACTAAATTTAATGCACGAGAAAAGGGCACTAAAAGTTACAAAAGCTAGTGAATTTACTGTTTTCTAAACATTATGTATTTAATAGGCTGCCGACCTCAGATCTGCATTCACTGAGAAAAAAAAATGAATTTATAGCCTACATTTTTTCTGTCACACATACAGTAATCAGATCTGTGTGTAATCTGTATCTGTAATCAAAGCTGCATTTAAACGGTGTGTACTATTGTGAAAAATAATATTAATCACAGTATAAACAACAACAATTCTATTGTTTATTATTGTTATAATTATTCATTGTTATTCATATTGTTATAATTATGCTATGTTTTATAAAAGATAGGCTATATATATTTTATAAAAGGCTATTTTATAACAGATTATTATATTGTATTTTATATATATGTGTGTGTGTGTGTGTGTGTGTGTGTACAAGTTGTGTATAATAGAAAGAAAAGTGCACAAACCACTAAAAAGTGATGTGAAAACAATTATATTTCAAATTCATGATGATATCTTGATTATTTACGGGATGCATTGTTTTACAATTCATAATGACTGGACTTTAACAATTCAAATATTTGTTTAGATTCCAGTTGATTGACTTGAATTGCATGGAGAAAATGCCGTGTGTGAGTGTGTGTGTATGTGTGTATGTGTGTGCGTGTGTGTGTGTGTGTGTGTATGTGTGTGTGTGTGTGTGTGTGTGTGTGTGTGTGTGTGTGTGTTTTAGATGGTTAGAAATAAGAATGCTGTCCTTTACTACGAATCCTGATTTCTGACACCGCTTCAGTCAAGCCTGCTGGCTGTTTGGGGGGGTTGTTTAAAACGAGAAAAAAATATGTGTGAATCTTAAAAAGATTCTCAAGCGACATTTGACTCTGAATCACTTTTTGGAATCTAATTGAAGCATTATTTTTAAGAGTGTGGGATTCGCTGTCTGTGAACCTCAAGATAGATAGACAGACAGACAGACAGACAGACAGATAGATAGATAGACAGACAGATAGGTAGATAGATAGATAGATAGATAGAGCTCTATGAGAGTGTTTTTGTGAGAGGAGCGTTGCTCTGAGGGTCACGCGCGTGACTGCGCACCCGCCGCACTCATTACACCGGGAGCGCGTGCTGTCTGGACCCCGCGAGCACGAGTCACTTAAGATCAGACGAATTTCTAATTTATGCACGTTCGGCTTCTTCTTCTTTAAACAGTGTGTCTGTGTGTGTGTGTGTGTGTGTGTGTGTGTGTTGTAGGTGTCTATAGACGGGGAACAGCACTTGCGCTGTTACAGGAAGCAGTGCCCAAGTCTGGTGGACTGTCCTAAACACAACATCCTATACAGTGGCTCTGACTCCTGCTGCCCTGTCTGTGCACGTTAGTATGAACACTGCTGTCAGCAGATGCTTTCCATTGCACTGCTAGTTTTATCACTCCTTAGTCTCTTTATTCTCACATATTAATTGGTAGCAAAACCAAATGAAAAATGAACAAAAGCATATTTATTATAAATTATGTTTGTTCATAACACATTAATGTTAATTTATAGAACTTGAAATGTTAATAATGTACTAGTATATGTAGAAATTAACATTAATGATGCCTAATGCATTAACTAATGGTACGAATTGAACCTTGTTGAAATGATTTCTGTAACTGCAATAAAGCTCAAATTAAATAAAATATAAATAATTGATGAAATTTATACTCATTTAACAAATTTTAGCTTTTTAAGTTTGTTGAAATACTAAAATAACTTTGTGTGTGTGTTAGAGGTCTATATGTGGGATATATAGCCTCCAGGGTCTGTTTGCCCTGAACATGTTTATTCAGCTTTTGTATTAAACATTGCCTTTCATTCAACTATTTTAAAGCAATGTGAGGAATTGTGTTTTTTGTGAAATGTAATAATGTGTGGCAGAGTGAAGCTCGTGTGTGTTCAGATGTCAGTCTCGCAGATCACGTGTGTTTGTGGTGGATGCCCGTGATTTGCTTTACAGAGTGATCTGTTTGTTCACGAGCTTAGATTCACTCACAACATCGATATGACGACTTTCTCTCTCTCACACACGCACACACACACACTCTCTCTCACACATGTAAAAATTATAATAATCCTTACCAATATAGTCCTACTGACAAAATATACAATTAAAATTTATAATAATAATAACAACAATAACTATTAATATTCTACTATAAACAAAAACAATTTATAATATATAACAACAACAACAGTAATTATTGTTATTATTTATTAGAGATGTGTGTGTGTGTGTGTGTGTGTGACTGTGTGTGTGTGTGTGTGTGTGTGTGTGTGTGTGTAATATATATGACTTCATGATAATGTTGTGTTTGTGTTGCTGTAGGTTTGGGGGAGGTTTGGGGTCGAAGCCGATCTTTAGAAAACACAAACCTTGAGCTCGGATCTCATTTACTGCAGGTAATAATCAGCAAGATGCTCCAGGTAATATGAAGACTTTATTATTATTATTATTATTATTATTATTATTATTATTATTATTATCATCATTGGCTTGTGACTTCATGATAATGTTGTGTTTGTGTTGCTGTAGGTTTGGGGGAGGTTTGGGGTCGAAGCCGATCTTTAGAAAACACAAACCTTGAGCTCGGATCTCATTTACTGCAGGTAATAATCAGCAAGACGCTCCAGGTAATATGAAGACTTTATTATTATTATTGACATTCAGAAATATGGCAGGAGACTCTATACAGTGAAGCTAATGTTTCATTTCCATGCAAATGCATTAGAAGACATTGCTGCTTTTTTGATGTTATATTAACATGATTAATGAAGCTTCTTTCCAGATTTTCCTGGCTTTCGCTGTTTTCTGTCGTGATCTGTCTGATGTTCTCTGATCTGCAGACGTTAGACGGCTTTATATTCGTGGTGGCTGCCGACGGGAAGATCATGTACATCTCAGAGACGGCGTCGGTTCATCTGGGCCTTTCACAGGTGAAGCACTGACTAACAGCTGCTGTGTTTGTGCTCGTGTTCCTCCAGTGCAATCACACACGTGCTTTCACACAGGTAGAGCTGACTGGGAACAGTATTTATGAGTACGTTCATCCGGCCGATCACGACGAGATGACCGCGGTTCTGACTCCTCAGCCCTCGTATCACTCACACTTCATCCACGGTGAGACTTTACACACACTCAACAGTGAACACATGTCCATGCACTGCATTATCAGAGGAATTCTCATGCATTTCTGATGGAGACTGAAAAAAAAGGATTTTTACTAGTTGTGAAATTTTGAAAAAGGGTCAGAAAGGTTGGAACAATAAAACATTAACAATAAGACAACAAAACCTAATTATGACCGTTTTTGGCACACAGACACACAAAAAATGTAATTATGAAATATGATACAAAATACATAAATATAAAAAACATGAGGAATTTAAGTACATAGAAAGATTATTTTGAAGTATCGTGTACAAGAATTTTGTGTGTTATTATTATTCACTAAAAACATCATTAGGACTGTTTTAGGCAACAACAACAAAAAATCTTCTGAACTACAATAGAAAATATAGAAATATAAAAAATATATAATTCGAGTATCTTTTACATAAATTATTTTAGTCTTTCTGTTTCAGAATTTCTCTTTAATTCACTGTTTCTCGCCATTTCTTTGTGAATATTTGTGCAATTTACTAGCAATTTCTGAGTAAGAATTGTTTCAAAGCCAATTCTCTTTTTTTCAGTGTCAGTCAGTCAGACAAAAATATGACCAAATTAGCATTAATATCATACATACAAGCCCGACTGATGAATGCGGTGTTGGATTTTGCTGATTTCAGAGCATGAAGTGGAGCGCTCGTTCTTCTTGAGAATGAAGTGTGTTTTGGCCAAACGAGCTGACAGACACTAACGGAGCGTGACCTTTGAACCCGCAGGTCATCCACTGCAGTGGCTATCTGAAGCCCGTGGGTCTGGTGGCGGTGGGTCACACTTTACCTCCCAGCGCCGTCACCGACATCAAGCTTCACAGCAACATGTTCATGTTCAGAGCCAGTCTAGACATGAAGCTCATCTTCCTCGACTCCAGGTGAGATATGACCCATGCATGCGTTTCTGCTTTTAACTTCGATGATATTATCACCAGTGTTGGGGAGTAACTAGTTAATAAGTAATAGTGTGTCTTTAGCAACAAGCACTATGATACATGCATAGGATGACTGTTATTTCAGTTTCATCTAGGTTTATTGTATCTGTCCCTAACAAATAAAACATTAAATAAACAAATAAAGCATGACTGTTATTATAGATGCTCCACTGATTCAGGGCTGTTCTGTGCTCTAAGGGTTTCAGAGCTGACAGGATATGAGCCACAGGACCTGATTGAGAAGACCCTGTATCATCACGTGCACAGCTGTGACAGCTTTCACCTGCGCTGCGCTCATCACCTCCGTGAGTCCAGATCATATCAGTATTCATCCTAAAGAGAGGAATCCAAAGTCCTGAATCTTGTAGCTTTATACTGAAAATGTGTAAAAGTAATGTAAAGTGTTTGTACTGTTATTTATTTGTCATGTAAAGAAAAAAACAAAAATATTATATATATATATATATAAGTTGTATATATATTCTATGTTATAATATATAATATTATATATTAATTCATATATATTGTAATAACAAACAGTAACACATTACAATGTGGTTCCATTTGTTCACATTAGTTAACATGAACAAACAATGAAAAATACTTCTGAAGCATTAATTAACCTTAGTTCATGTTCATTTCAATATTTACTAATACATGAATTAAAATCAAAAGCTGTGTCTATTCATATTATTTAATGGATGAGCGCTGGCATGAACTAACAATCAACAGTTTTGTTTTTATTAACTAATGTTAACAAAGATTAATAAGTATTGCAACACTTTATATATTTACATATACATAAATGTGTTTAACACACACACACACATGCAAATTTTATTTATTTTATATTTACATATTTTGTATCTTATTTAATCATTAAAAAATGTTTTGTGCCACAAACAAAAAGTCCAAATTAAATCTTTAATGTTGCACCCATTCTGATCCTTACTGTACAAGTGTACAGTATATATATATTATATATATATATATATATATTTAACAGGAGTTTGTTGCCAACATCTCCCTCTCCAACACGCCACACGATCCAGCAACGAGCGCATTTATATACACTAGCGCTCAAAAGTTTGGGATCAGAACGATTTTTAATGTTTTTTTAAAGAAGTCTCATCAAGACTGCATTTATTTGATCAAAAATACAGGAAAAAATGTAATCTTGTGAAATATTATGATGTAAAATAACGTTTTTCTATTTTAATATACTTTAAAATATAATTTATTTCTGTGATGCGCAGCTGTATTTTCAGCATCATTACTCCAG